TAATACAGATAATATATATATATATATATATATATATATATATATATATATATATATATATATATATGTGTGTGTGCGCAAAAAACGTAGAGTTTTGATTAACGTACGTACAGTTTTGATTAATAAATTAAAATTAAGCATCGATTAATTTATTTGATAGTATTTGATAAATTGCACGTGATTTTTAAAATCTGAATTTAAATTCTGTAATTAACATTTAAAATACTACAGATTCATTTTTAAATTAATTATAATTAATAATTTTTTCTATTTTATTTTATTTTTTCCAACTGTCTGTATCTACATTATTTTAATACAATAAATGTAGTAAAAGAATCTATAAAATAAAAAGTAAGAAGAAAAAAGTTTAAATAGTGTTTTTTTATATCAAAGCAAAGGTACAAATTCTGAATTATACATATAATATATATTATAAATAATTTCTCACCTGACTCTTCTTCTTTCCTATAAAGCAGCAAGATTAATAATTTTTATTCTATATTAAAATCCATGCTATATTCGAACACATGTACGTCACACTCTTTGCGCGCTGAATATTGGCTATAGATCTGCTTTCAGTTCCTGCAATGAAATGAAATATGTTCAGAAATAAGGCCCGATGAAATACACACGTGACCATCTACACCTTTCTGCACTCAAAAGAAAAAATAACGAAATACGATGTACAATGAATGTACACTAGAGCTATGATTCATTTAGCGTTACAAATGCTTTGAAGTGTTTGACTGAATTCAGAATAAAAAAATTTTATCGATTAACCAATCAAAAAATAAATGCTTCGAAGCCTTTATAGCACGAAGTGAAAAGCAGTCTGATTCAGCCATAAAAAACAAGTGTCATTTTTTTCCTAGAACAGAGACGTGGACATTTTTTGTTTTTTCAATAGTTTCCATATAGGGAGAAATTATCTGATCGGTTGTAATTACCTTTCTCTATCTCAATCGAATTTACATAGCGCATTAATATAATTTTTTCACTACCACTGACCATACAGCAAAATTTTTCAATGTGTTGTTTGGTTACAAAATAGTGAATAGAAGTTTTCAAGTCTCAATCTCTCTCTCTCAGTTTCAAGTCACAATTCTTTATTTTATAATCAATTAATTATGTTCAGAAAATCTGTCGTATGCACAATTAATAAAAGACTAATTTTAAACTACGTTGTAATGGCTGTAATATAAGTTTATACACAATGAGCATGCAATTTTGGATATGACATTCGAAAAATCGATGGGAAAGGCTGTATACTTATATACATGTCATAAATCGCTCTGTTTCATCCTGAAGTTTGAAATATTAACATAATAATAGAATCAAGTGGACAGAAAACATAGAGATCAAAAATATTACATATATTGTACAATGGAGTATTTATATTGGTTATTTGGAGTAGGCAGAAATCAATATTTTAAAAATTAATTAAAAAAAAATCGAAGAGACATGGAATTGGGACGACATCTTTTGATCGCAATGTGAACTTGAAGAAATATTCAAGTCAAACGTACGTATAAGCTACCTCTCTTTATCTTTACACGCAAAACGTTGAGATCGTCGCGGCAAACGTTTCAATTTCTTTGATTTCAGGTGAGTAATAAAAATCGATATCTTCGTTTCTTGCCGTCGCGAGGTTATGCAGTAGACTTTCAATGTCTCGTTTTCAAGTCTCGTTCGATTATTGATAGAATAAAATAGTTCACTCCAGATTGTTTACTAAGAAAACTTCAGCCGACGATTTACATGTATGAGAAACTTGCCGGAATGATATCGTATATGGAAACATAACCTGACTTGAAAACGTGTATCGACCGATTTGTTTCACGAAAATTTAATTGCTAATATAATATAATTTAACTTTTCCATTGTTTTTTTACTTTATATTTCGAAAAAAATAAAAATTTACTTCGCAATATTGAAGAAGATTTCTTATAAGTCAAACTGTCATTTCAAAATATTCAATGGGAAGAATAATTTTAGCACTTTTTTTTGCTTTTGAGAAACATATTGATTACAATATCACTTGTATGAAATTACATTAAATTATTAACTATATTAAGATTTCATTTTCTTTGCTTAGAGTAACATTTATTTTATCATAATTAATATGATCTTTTTTTCTTTTATTAACTTAAAGTTCATTAAGCAGCAGAAATGTCAGGCAAGCGAGCAGCAACAACAGAATTGAATCATGACAATTGGAATGAAGAGAGTGAACCAGAAGATGCAGGAACATTTGCATTAGCAGCGAACGATATACTTGAGAAGAGAGTTATAAAGACAGCAAGGCGTCGTTTACCATCAAAAGATGTAAGTGCCTTGACTGCCTTGTACTTTGATTATATTTATCTCTGTCATTGTTCTATATGGACTATTTTAGGGAGCTCCGGTGAAGAGTGCATTTGGGACATTTAGTGGTTTTAAAACCACTCCTGTAACGAGTCCATCTCCATTCAGTTTTTTAGCTAATGTAAGCAATGCGTCTAATACAACTGATACTTCTTCTGTAGCAGTGACGGCTGTAAATACGAACAGTAGGCAAATTGCAAGCAATGGTTCTTCTAAGACTTCCAAGAACGATGCTGATAAAAAGGAAAACCCTACCAAATTGCAGACACTATCAAATACAAATACAAGCAAGAAGACTTCTGTTGAGCAAAAGAATGAGAAGACAAAAAAACACTCGTCGGATTATCACGCAAAATTGAAGGGACTGAATGAGAGTGTCGCTACATGGATAAAAAGTCATGTAGATGCTAATCCATTTTGTATATTAACACCTATATTTAAAGATTATGAGAGATATTTGAAAGAGATTACATCAAAAGAAGAAAGTACCAAAGCGCAGACCTCGCACATTGCAGAGCACACAAAACAGATTGCATCGAACAATAGCAAGCAAGATATAAACATGGAAAAAAAATTAGAGAAATCGCCATTTGGCAATTTGAACGCGAATACAAACTCCCCTTTAACTACTGGCACGGAATGGAAACCAGAAAAATCGATATTTTCTAACATAAATGCAAATACTAAATCAATATTTAGTAACACAGAACAGAAAACAGAAAGCCCTAAATCTGTATTTGGTACAGATATGACTTCTGATAAGAGCAAATCTATTTTTGGAAACATTGACTCGAATGTTGCTAGTAAAAGTATATTTGGCAACACGAACGTGGAAAGTAATCCTTTCTTACACAAATCTGCAGTTTCAGACAGTGGAAAGACAGATGAAGAAGAAGCAAAATCTAGTGCGAAGTCTGTCGCTTCTACTTTTCCTACCTTTAGTTTTGGACAGAGTTGTGCTACTAGTAATGTGACTGCTGGATTTAGTTTTGGAAGGTAATTTATTAACATAATTAGGTTTTTTTATGTAAAAATTAATATGAAAATATATATATATTTTTTTTTGTAATTTACAGTGCAAAGCCATTTTCATTTGCTCCTCAAGCGGTAAAACCGCAGGACTCCGAGGATAAAACTGACAATGAAAATAAAGATGAGGAAGATGAGGAACCTCCAAAACCAGATTTTAAACCAGTAGCTGAAGAAGGTGCTATTTATGAACAAAGGTAAGTTGTACATTTTAATTTATAATTGTAAAGACAAATTATACAGACCTTTTTAAAAATTATTTATTATTATTATTGCAGTACTAATGTTTATTATTACTATTATTGCAGTATTAATCTTATGTATTTTATTAATCAAATAATTATCAACTAATAATTTATTTATAATTTATAATTATAATTTATAATTTATTTTTTATAGGTGTAAAGTTTTTGTGAAGAAAGACAACAATTACAGTGACAAAGGCGTTGGAATGTTATATCTGAAACCAACACCAAACGGAAAGACACAATTGATAGTACGTGCCGATACTGCTTTGGGTAATCTGTTACTTAATACTCTGTTAACTCAAAGCATTCTCACCAAACGCATGAACAAGAATACAATAATGTTGATTTGCCTACCGATGCCAGATTCCTCGCCACCACCAGTCCCAGTACTATTAAGAGTGAAAACTGATGAAATCGCGGATGAATTATTAGAAGCATTGAATAAACATAAAAAATAGAAAAAAAGTTGCGCAAAATTTGTTTTGCGTATTCGAACAAAGACTTTTTTTTGATGTTATCTAATGAATAACGAAAATGAGATGAATGCAAATACATACATAATGAAAAATTCGTTTATTAATCAGCATAACGATTTCGTGTTGAGCTTTATTCGTCATTCCATAAAATGTAAATTACGCGATCGCCTAGGAACTTAAACATAATCATTAGAAACGAAGAATTATGGATAAATATCAATGGTAAATGTTTTCCAGTTGTTATTTCATTAACAGATGTATAAAAACATAATTGTCCTCTTACTAGACTTTTCTCTAATAAGAGGTATTCTAATAAGAATTCAATTGATTCAAATGATTTCTAAAAATTTACAGATATTACATTATTTGACTGTGTTGCAAATTTAATTAATAATGTGATAATAATAATTGGAAATATATGTATATAGTAGAAATACAATATTGTATATTATGTACGAGGCAGTTTATGTTTGTGACAGCTGCTGAAATATTCTGTACTATTATTAGAAGTAATTGTACTGTTACAATTAATTACAAATGCAAAAAAAATTATATAAAATTGTCTGATATCTTATAAAACAAATTCCTTAATTTATAATATATAACGATTTGTACAAAAAGTAAAAAGATATTGGATATTCCTCTGCTAATATTATGTTGTACTTAGAATATAATTTATGTATTACGAGATAAAGATTTAGAGACATATTTGGAAATCAATCAACATTCAGGACAGGGAAACATTCATTTTACAACTTGTAGAGTTATAAATTATAATTTTTTACTCTGTCACTTTACCTATAGTACATTTGTTATACGTATTTAATTATACGAAATTATTATATCTCAAAAATTTCTTCAGTTTGATGAAAAGGTATGTTTTCTTTGGATTGTGATTCGAATTATAGACAATTATATAAATATATAAAGAATATATTAAATGAGATATGCTTAGTAATATCTTCATAGTTCACATGAGAAAAACATCAGCATGAATAATTTTTAAACGCAGATTTAGATTCAGCAATAAATTTTCTAAATTACATTTGCACTGAGAGCCTCTCCCTTATAACAAATTACAATAATTTATATAAATCGAATGTATATACAAACTTAAAAATTTACTTTTAGATTTTTAAGAAATTTAATTTTGCTATTCGCACACATACTAATGTAATTGACTAATGTAATAGTCAATTTCTCTTTATATAAATACCTATAATCGAATAGTACATATAGTACATAAAAATCTGAAAAATGAACATTCTTAAATATTTAATAATTAATGTTCACTAATATTATCCAACAATATATGAATTTTGTTCTAAAATACTTTATGAATGCACTATTAAAGAAATTATGGAATACATCCCATATATACAAAATATAATTGCTTAAATCGTACATGCATATTGCGTAGACATATATTTTACATGACAATATATTAATATGGCCTATACAAGAATGAGAAAATACAGAATTAGTTGATTTTCTAAAAAATATCGTGTCGTGATCGTTTGTTATACTGTACAGTGAGAATATATAATTTGTTTCTTCTTCAAACTCTTTGTGCCATAAATGGCGTTAGAGGACCCATCTGCCCTAGGCCTACTTGAATATGTTGCATATGAATTTCTACACAATTTTGAAACACCTGCTGATTCTGTGGACTGAGTTTCGATCTTATCTGCTCCATCGTACCTTGTAGTACTTTAAGTTCATATGCATTTCGATCAGAATCCGATAAACTCTGCGATAGAAAAAATAAATTTTTTTAGTACCAGACAAACGGAAAAAAATACATTTATCAAAAATTTTAATTGTCTTACTTTCACTTGTAACATTAATGCAGTTAAATCTGTTACCAATTGAGTCATCTTTCCTGGTGCTTTATCATTCATTATGTTATGTTTAGCAACCATATCTGCCGCTTCCTGTCTGCATTTTTCTCGAAGATGTGACGGTGCTAGCATTGCCGCCACGCTGGGTTCTGGTGCCATTTCTTGACATAATTCTTGTATGTCGTTCAAAAAGTCTTGAAGAGCTCCATTCATTCTCTCCAACTCGACAACAATTCTAGAAATGACAGTATAGTATATTAAAAACATTTTATAAATGTTAAGTGTATTTTATATTATATATATTAATAGAATTTTTTTATATATTTTTAGCTACTCGTACCCTGCATATTTTTTTTCAAAATCGGGAAGAAGCGATTCACCTAGGGAACGTTTCTTTTCAGCTTCTCCGTTCATCTCTTTCAACTTCTTGATTTTATTCTTCTTAGTTGTTAATATTTTATTCACTTTAACCATAAGTTCGAGTAATTTTAATGGAAAACCATTCATTGTGCCACCAATATTCTTTTTCGGCATGGACACAGAGGCATTGGATATTAAAGGATCGTTGGTCAATCGTGGAGATAACTTCATCATATATGGAGGTGAAGGTACATATTGTAAAGGCCGTGGTCTAAACTTCTGAGAGAATGATGCCACACTGATCGTCTCCGGTGGTTCGTTCGACTATTATGAATAAAAAATAAAAACTTTTATTTGTTTCTTTAGGATGAATAATCACATATTAATATAAAAGCATGTAAATATTTTCCTTAAAAAATGAATGACATACCAAGACTTCATAATCAGGGACACTATGTGTTCCAAGTCCGGCTCTTTCGAATGTAATTCTATAAGTATTATTGCTGGTATCGACGGCATCGATACTTCCAGTGAACAGACCATCTTGTGGTTTCCTTAGTCTTGCCGTCACTTTTGTACCAATTACTAATTGTAATGGTATTTCAGGTGGTAAGTCTTTGAAACTGCTTATATCCGTCGTTTTTCTCTGCTGCAGCATCCGTATTTTCTGCCTCTTTCTTTCCAGCTCACGTCTCTCCTCCTCGAAGAATGATTGTGAACATCTTCGTGGCTTGCCCATCATTCTTCTAATTTTACACCATTCCACGCGAGTGAGTTTACGAGTTTTCAATTGTGGAAACGATTCTTTTAAACATATCATGAAATCGTTATCACCTTCAAATAATATCCTATGAGAAACATTATTATGCAATATTATAAAACTTTAAATACTATAATTGCTTGCGTTATTGCAATTTGCATTATTACTTTTGTACGTACTTGTCAATATTGCTATAAAACCATTCATAACAGACCCATTTATGTGCCTTGGGTAGTTTCAACAAGTTTCTCAGTCTCATACCAATCTTCTGTCCTATTTTACGATCTGGGGATGTAGGCTGTGGTAGCTTATCTGGTTCTTTCTCCTGCTTGATTGGAGTAGTTACAGGAGTTGTTGGTTGCGAAGATGAACCTGTACTTTTTGGTGTGCTCGATATCTTATTCTGTCTCTTCACTGGTGATGGTCGAATCATTTTTTTAGGAGATTGTTTCGCATCTGCAGTTAAAGGATCCTTCTTGATTCTGTGAACATAGTAATACATATTTAATCGATCGAAAAATCGCTCGTTTATCCATCTAATTGTCATTAATCTTTATTTCTAGATACAAGAAGAATAATTCACCTATGATGTGGATGATTAATCAAGACATCGTCATAGAATAATTTATTTTTTTCCTGATTCTTGCTGGCATTCCTCTGCGATTCAGCACTTGTACTGGTTGCGTTGGAGGATTTGGTTTGGTAGGTGGTTGAGTGCCTACCCTCTGTAGACCTAAAGCCGCAGGCCCCAGTTCTGGTATTGGTTCTGATTCTTCGGTATCCATTTGTTGATCCATTGAGTGATTCAAACTCAGTTGTTCATCTGTATCCATCATATCGTCATCTATTATCTCCGTTTTAATTTCATCAACAGAAGGGTATCCACCATTTTTTATTGATAACAATGCTTCTGCGGATTCATCTGAAAAAAAGTTGTTACAAATCATATATATGTATACATGTGCAATGGAAAATTTTTTAGGATTCAGATTCATTCTTTTTTAGGATTCAGATCCATATTATATGCCTATGTATATTGTATATATTTATATATAGAGATATAT